CTTGTCGCATCGCGCTGTCTGTTCTCTTTCTGTCTAGTCCATCAATACCCTCAGACCATCAGCCATGGTTCTTGAGCGTGTGAAGCAGTTGGCCCAACAGGTCTCCAACACTGTTGCTCCTCCCCATCCATTCGATCCGCTCTCCTCCCTTGAGATCGAGACAGCCGTGTCCCTGCTTCGGTCACAGTATGGCAAGCTGTACTACAATGCCGTCACGCTGTTGGAGCCACCCAAGGCTCAGATGCTGAAATGGCTGGCTGATCCCGATCACACACCCAAACCACACCGTATTGCCGATATTGTGGTCATTTCGCCCGAGGGCAAAGTGTTCGACGGCCATGTCGACCTCACAGAGCGCAAGGTGATCAAATGGGAACACACTCCCGATGTGCAGCCCCTGATCACCATGGAAGATCTTCAAATCGTCGAGCATGTCGTACGCAAAGACCCCGGTGTCATTGAGCAGTGCGGCCTCATTGGCATCCCGCCCGAGGAAATGCACAAGGTCTACTGTGATCCCTGGACTATTGGATACGACGAGAGATTCGGCAACTCGGTCAGACTCCAGCAGGCACTGATGTACTACCGACCACATGTCGACGACTCCCAGTACTCCTACCCCCTAGATTTCTGCCCTATCTACGACTCAAACAAGCAGAAGATCATCCACATCGACGTGCCCAAGGTTCGGCGACCACTGAGCAAGGCACCACCGAACAACTACCATGTCAAGTCGATCGAAGAGATCGGTGGCTACCGAACAGACCTCAAGCCGATCAACATCACCCAGCCCGAGGGTGTCAGTTTCAAAATCAATGGCCGCATCATCGAATGGCAGAACTGGTCCGTCCATGTGGGCTTCAACTACAGAGAGGGCATCGTCCTCAACAACATCTCCTTTTTCGACAAGGTAGAGAACAAGGCCCGGCCTATTTTCTACCGGCTTTCACTTGCAGAAATGGTTGTCCCCTACGGTAACCCCGAACATCCGCATCAACGCAAACACGCCTTTGACTTGGGCGAGTACGGTGGTGGATACATGACCAACTCCCTCAGCTTGGGTTGTGACTGCAAGGGCAGTATTCACTACATGGACGCCGAATTTGTGAACAAGGCTGGCGCGGCACAAACGATCAAGAACGCAATTTGCATCCACGAAGAAGACAACGGCATTCTTTTCAAGCACTCCGACTTCAGAGACGACTCTGTGGTTGTGACTCGTGCCCGCAAGCTGATCATCTCCCACATCTTCACCGCCGCAAACTACGAGTACTGCGTCTACTGGGTCTTCCACCAAGACGGCACCGTCCAGCTCGAGATCAAACTCACCGGTATTCTCAACACCTATGCGATGAACCCCGGTGAAGACACAAAGGGATGGGGCACCGAAGTGTATCCGGGTGTCAATGCCCACAACCATCAACACTTGTTCTGTCTGCGCGTCGACCCAAACATCGACGGGCCCAACAACACGGTATTCCAGGTTGACGCCGCCCAGGGTGCCGGTGAACCAGGCTCTGCAGAAAATTTCTACGGCAATGCCTTCTATGCCAAGCGGACAAAGTATACAAACCCCAAGGAGGCCATGGCGGACTACAATGGATCGAGCTCGCGGACCTGGGACATGTGCAACGAGAACAAGCTGAACCCCTATTCCAAGAAGCCTGTGTCGTACAAATTGGTGAGCAGAGAGGTACCGACGCTGCTGCCCAAGGAAGGCTCCCTGGTGTGGAAGAGGGCTGGCTTCTCGAGACACGCCGTGCATGTGACGAAGTGTAAGTTTCTCTCCCGTTGGGCCAACGCCTCCATTTTGCCCTTCACTCACATCATACCTGACATCGTGCGAAATATGTAATTGGTTTCTAACGATTCTTGTCTGGTAATAGACTCTGACGACCAAGTGCACCCTGCCGGACGCCACGTGCCGCAAACCTCGGGCGAACCGTCAATGGGCCTGCCCCAGTGGATCGCCGCGAACCCGACGGCCAAGATCGACAATGAAGACATTGTACTATGGCACACCTTTGGCATCACCCACTTCCCGGCCCCGGAGGACTTCCCGGTCATGCCCGCGGAGCCCATGACGCTGCTCCTCCGACCGCGCAACTTCTTCGTGCGCAACCCGGCTCTCGACGTCCCACCCAGCTACGCCAGAACGCCCAGCGAGGTCGCCGCTGGCAAGAACGGATGTACATGTGAAAAGGACAAGGCCAGCGTGCGGGTTTAGCTGGAGGAAACTTTGTTGCCATGTTTTCTTTCACACAAATTGATTGTCAAGCTGACCTGGAGAGAGCAATGACTTTCTTGGTGTGGGAATCCTGCTCCTTGTTTTTATTTTTTGGGGAAAAATTGATTGATAATGTGATCAAGGAAATCTGGTTGCTTCTCTGCTTCCTAATGAAAGCGGGCATGATACGACGACCTATTGAGGAGGAACGTTACTTACTCCTTCGAGAGAGGAGTGTACGCAGCAGCATCTCTTGTATTCAACGAGTCGGACGACCACGGTTGTCCTGAGCCGCAATATATCTATATATATACCTTCCCGCACGGAATTGTAAACCTCTTCGACCAACAGAAATGACCCCATGTTTGATGACGAGTCTCTTCTACCAATATAAGACATGGGACAAGAAGGACGTGAATTCCCTGCTACCACGTCTCCTGTTTGTATCTGCCCATCTTCTCCAATCTTGCGAGGTACTTCTCCGCGTCCTCTTCGGTCTGTATCGGCTCCTCCTCGACAGGAACCATGCCTTGTCCGCTCACAGCCTTGTCTTCGTTCTCAGTGCTCTTGCCCTGCTGGACAAGAGCGTCGACCAACGCCTGCCTGACAGCCTTGGGCATCTGGCCGGAGGATCCGCACACGATGACCGTGGCGGCCTTGTCCCTGAGAAACTGGCAGACCAAGCGGCTATGCTCGCGCATCCGGTCTTGGACGTAGACCTTGGACGTCTGATCTCGGGAGAAGGCGGTGATGACTTCGAGCAGGGCAGTTGGGTGGTCTTTTGTCTGAAGCGCGGTCCACTCGTCGCGAAAGAAATAGTCTGACCTCGCGTTGCGGCAGCCAAAGAAGAGCGCCGTCGGGCCCGAGACCTGGTCTTGCATGGCCTTTTCGTGAATGAGTGCCCGGAGAGGCGCGATGCCCGTGCCGGCACCGACGAGGATGTGGCTCTGGTCGGCCGACTCACCTGCCCTGGAGAACCGACCTTCCGTCTTCAGAGAGACCTGCAGCGTGGTCCCCACCGGCAATTGCGCCAGGTAGCGTGTACACACGCCCTCTCTGATGCGTTTTATGACGGTCCTGTACTTGACGATGGCGACCAACAGTTCGAATTTGGTCGCTCCGTCCTCGGTGCTCTTCAACAGCCCACCGCTCGCTATGCTGAACTGTCTCGGGCGCATTGCCGGGAAGATACTGGTGACTTCCTCCCAAGGCAGGTGCACCGAGTCGAACTCCTGCAAGATCTCGAGGATACTCCGCCTGGGACGGGTCGCGTAGTCGTAGTACTCGTCGAGGTATTGCGGGTCCGTAAATTCGAGAAGTCGCTCCTTGTGCATGTCGTTGCTGGTGTAGTTTGCAATGCAGCCAAAGAAGGACCGGCGGGGAATGGCGTTGATGTCCAGATACTCGGTCAGAAGGGCTCGGAGGGTGAGACGGGCGCGGCGGAAGATCGCATCGCCTGCCAGAGAGGCCAGAGTGGTGGCCGAAGTCGGCCGTCGTGTTGACACAAGGCGGATCGGCACATCCGCGACACGTTGCCAGCCCATGCGGGTGATCAGAGATTCCACGTCCTCTGCGATATTCTGCGGGGAAATGGCGAGCGCGTCACCAGGCATGTAAGGGATTTTTGCCGAGGTTTTGAGACTCATGAACCGAACATCTTGCCAGTGATCTGGCGGGGTGACTCGTTGGTTACACTCCAAAGATACGGAGAAGGAATTCGGAGGAGCGTTGTCCCCAGTAGAGGTTGAAGAAGGCCGATGGTTGCTGTCGGCGATTGGCGAGGCGCCAGACCCAGCAGGGTGTTCGGAGACCCGTTCCAGGCGCCATTTAGTCGGCAGAAGAACATCGTTGGGAATTGGGTCCCGATCGTCCGCGAGGGGGAAGGTGTTCAATACAGTCTCCCGAAACAGTTGTAGCCAGCTCAGAAAGGCGCCATCGGTGCCCTCGTCGCCCTGTTCATCGGCCTCGCACGGCTCGACGAGTGGCGAAGCACCCAGTTGACGAAGCCTCTTGTCCAACTTCCTCGCGGCCCAGTTGAACTTGGGGTACGAGGTATCCCCCAGGCCTGCGAGTGCATAGTCAACACCAGCCAACGTGGTGGCGGCGAGTTTCTTGCGGAGGAGGCCGGTCCAAAACCGCCGAGCATTCTCGGGGAAGTCACCCTGTCCCGTGGTGGCGACGACGAAGACTGTGAGGGTGTATTGGTGGAGAAGGCCGTGTGTGGCGGCGTCCAACCCCAGAACATCGGTCCGGAAATGCAGTCTCTCAAGGGTGCGGCCGACTTCTTCGGCCAGGTCTTGCGCCGTGCCGGTTTCTGTCCCGTAGAGGACCAGGGCGGATCTGTCGCGGCCTTGTTCGGTCATCTTTCTCCAAAGCTATGCGGCTCGAGACGAGCATTGTGGAACTCCGGCGAGCTGCGAGAGGAAGCAAAATATCGTCCGGGCAAGAGACTTGACCTGGTGGTGGAACAGCATGTCATGACAAAAAGTCTTACCACCTTCTGTCATGGGGGGACATTTTTTCCCTCCGATGGCCGGGCTTGGCGTGCCAAGGCGATATGGGACTCCGCCTGCGGCTCAGGCCAGCGGCCCGCGTGGGCATCGAGTGAGTACAAAACAAGTTCAATCACAATGCCTCAGGTTGGGGAGTTTGTACTTGCATGCAGAACTCGTCTTCCAATCATCTACAAACATGCGCCGGTGAACCAATCCAAATGCAGCCGACCAGCCTGTATCATCTCCAGTGTGCCTCCTCGACTTGAACTGCGAGGCCACTAGCAATGGCCATGGTGGTGCGGCGAGTACTCTGGCTGGTCATAGCCATTGTCGTCTCCCTGATACCCGCCATCACCGTCACCATATTGGTGCTGGTCGTGACCGTGGCCGTGGCCGTGGTCCTGCCCGCCATACTGATCATCATGGCCTTCGTAGTCACCTCCCTGGCCATGGCCATGGCCGTTGCCGTTGCCGTTGTGGTCGCCTCCGTGGCCATAACCGTTCTCGTCCCCAGGGTGATAATCGTTCCCCCATTCACCCCCTTGTTCAGGGTCCCCCTCACCACCGTACCCTTCCTCACCCTCACCATGATGATGGTCCCAGCCTTCCTCCGGATCATCAGCCCAGCCATTCTCAGGGTCGTCCTCTTCGGCGTCCGAGTCCGAGTCCATTTCAGACTCGTCGTCAGATTCTGCCATCATCTCGAATTTGTATTCCATTGCACCTGTTCCTTCCTCGTCCTCGTCCTCATGCTCGCCTGCATATCTGCCCCTGTGCGCGCGCTTGGTCAATTTGTAATACTCATGGGCCTCTTCGCTGGTGGGGTCCATCTCGCGCAGTTGTCTCGCAAGTCGCTTGATGGCTTTCAGGGTGCGGCGCATATTGTTCTGCTTGTCTTCTTCGGGGCCTACCAAGAGGACAAAAGGTTTGACAAAGGTCAGTTTGTGAGGCCGGAGTAGAATACTTCAAAAGGGAATTATCACGCCGACGTACCAGTGTTGTCCATTTGATGCTGTTCGTAGGTTTCGATGTGGACGTGTATCTCTGACATGACCGAGTCCCACGTGGGATACTGGTCGTCGCCCTCACCACTCATCCCGTACTCATCGTCCCCGTTCTCACCAGCTCCTCCATGCCAGTCATGGTGGTCGTCATACCCGTGGCCCTGGTCGTGGTCGTGGTCGTGGTCCATATCTTCTGATGCGACCGTGGGAAAAGTGTTTTCAATGGATGTGTAGAGAGATGGACATGTTGCATGAGAAAGCTCGGAGCGGCTCTATTATACTCGTCCTGATACGGGCTCAGCATGTGTGCGCATATCGAGTCCAGCAAGAGGTCTTCGCTCCGGGATCCCTGTCAGTTGCACCCATTACTATTTCCAGCACACATGGGCGAGAATAGAATAAACCACCTGGCCCTCAGCCCCTCAGTCGCACTGGCTCTGGTAGAAAACCCGATATCTTTCTATCCATTGGGATTGATTACATCCGCAATTAGGACCTCCACTAAACCACGAGTGCAAAAACCCCCCTGTTACAGCTGCTCCAGCCGTTAGAGGTCTAGGTCATGACAAACCAAGAGAAGCCAAGAGTAATGCTAAGCCAAACGGTGGAGAACATGCGCGCCACTTGCACTGAAATCAAAAAGATGTACGAGGTACCGAGTACACGGGAGGCTGACTGTGGAATTCCCGAGACACCTACAATGCGTGCCAACTTAGCTGTGTTAGGGAATCCTTCAGTCGGCTCTGGTTTCCGGGCGCGTGGGTGAAAAGAGGTACGTTCGAATAGTGTCCCTACCATGACCTCGGTGGCTGACGCACCCATCCTCCGGGAATCTGGTATCGCGGCCCCTATAAGGAGGGCAAGTAAGGTCCCATTGGAAGGTCCACCAGGCTCCACTTATGTTAACTCCTAGTCTTTCTTGGCACGACTAAATGGGCGAGAATATATGCAAGTTGTCAGACAACAATGCTTGGCGACTAGACCTAGCTAAGTTTCCCATGTAGAAATCACCCGTCGATGCCACACGAAGGCCATCTAATAGATCCCGGTCCCGCATCTTCTAGCTCTCCATAATGCGGTTAAGGTCCTTTCCCTTATACACAATTGACGCTGACGACGCACAACTCTCTTTAAAACACCACGCATGCAGTAAACTTAACACAACAAAAACAACAAACAAAGAAAAGTGCAGCACTGAAAACCGATA